AATGACATATGCTATTTCGTAATACATCAGCATCGTTTCAAAGAAGTCAATACTGGACAACAGCATCCCACAAGCCGGAAAGTTTAACCTATGGATTATGGCTGAAGTTTTCACTTTAATCTTGACCTCCCAGCTTCGTGTTGCCGCTGTGCTACATGGAGGGAATCCACACCGACTTCGAGAGGCTTATCAGCTGGATGGTCTTTGAGACGACGGAGGACTTCCAGAAGCTCCTCTCTCGCTTCGAAAATCTCCCGCGGCAGCTGCAGCAGATTCAGCAGTTGATGGAGGAAGGTGTGGCCGCCGGGATAGTCAACCACGCCATCTCCATGGTAGGGGGCGCTGTTTACTTATTCACGCATATAATTATTACATTATTCACGTTATAGACAGAAGTAAAGGGGATGTTTGATGAGAAATGTGAAAAGAAATGAAATTACCTCTACAGTTTCCTTACTAACGTTCATCTGATTCATCAAACTGCTCTTTAAATGTCAGTATTCCCTTGCAATGCAGTCTGTAAATATGCCAATCCACAAAATACAGCACGTAGGTGTAAACAGAGACAGAAACACACACACACACACACACACACACACACACACACACACACACACACACACACACACACACACACACACACACACACACACACACACACACACACACGATTAGGTGTATATTCTCCCATGTGTTTTCCTCGTCGACCAGAAAGGCGTAGCCGAGAGCCTGGGGAGGTTCGTGGTGTCCCAGGCAGAGGACTCGCCGCTGTGGGAAAGATTCACGTCCTTCCCCGACTCCTTCACGCAAGAGGAGATCACGGCTCTGCAGGACCAGGCGAGGCAGCTCATTCTGAACGAGGTATCCGTTAAGGGCTACGGTTGCAATATGGTTGCATTGCTTTGTTCAGTGTTGATAGAACGGGCAGTGAGCGGAACATATATAGAGAGAGAGGAGAGAGAGAGAGAGAGAGAGAGAGAGAGAGAGAGAGAGAGAGAGAGAGAGAGAGAGAGAGAGAGGGAGAGGAGAGAGAGGAGAGAGAAGAGAGAGAGAAAGAAAGAGAGCTGACAATGTCGGAGATAAACTTAGTCAAGACTACTTTCCTCCCTCTCCTTTTCCGCTCAGATTTCCCCCGCCTTCGAAGTCCTGCAAGAGTACGTGCAGAGCGAGTACACGACCAGACCCGAGATCGCCGTCACCAGCCTCCCCGACGGCGAGGAACGCTACGCTCAGCTGCTCAGGTGAGGTGAGGGGCGGTCGTCCCAGAGGCGCTCCTGTGCCTGGCCGTGCGAGTGGAGTCATTTAGCTTCTCTAGCTACACACACACGCACGCACACACGCACACGCGCACACACACACACACACACACACACACACACACACACACACACACACACACACACACACACACACACACACACACACACATATATACACATATATATAGATATAGATAGATATGTATATATATATATATATATATATATATATATATATATATATATATATATATGCATATGCATGTATATATGGCGCGTGTGTTTGCGTAAGGTATAAGAATGGTCAGATATATCAAATAGAAATGAAAGCAGTGCTTATATCCTAAGCCAAAGTCTGTTCCCGCAGGTCCACACCTCGACCAGTCTGACAGCGAGCGAAATTCACCAGTTGGGTCTAGACGAAGTTGCTCGCATCGAGGGGGAGATGGCCAAAGTAAGATTTTTTATCGAGTTCGAACTGCTGTTTCACCGACATTTGCTTATGGCACCTCCCATATTGCGTTCACTATCAACTGAATGACCAAAGCACACATTCACGGGGGAATCGATGCTTAGCAATATGATATATTATATATGTATGTATATGTGTATATGTATATGTGTGAGGATCATATATCCATATAATCATTCTTCCCAAGATCGTGGAGGAGCTGGGATACGACATGACAGTTCCCGAGTTCTCCGCCATGATTCGTAATGACTCCCGCTTTTACTACGACAATGCAGACGACCTTCTAGCAGGGTTCCAGGACCTTGCATACAACGTGATTCCTCCGAAGATTCCCCTACTCTTCACTAACATCCCTACCGCCGAGTTACAGTAATTACCACATCACTGCAAACTGCTTGTTATGGAAACCTGTTATCTGTTGTGCGTAAAGGACACCAGGAGCCGGATTCTCAAAAGAGCCTTAATTTAAGGCGCGCTGGAGGCCTTAACAGTCCTGTTGTATTTCCCTTGTATAAGAGCGAAGAGTGTTGATTTCCCGTCCGCCGTAAAGCGCTGAAGGCTGCTCTCCCCCTGCCTTCACCTAGGGCGCCTTAACACGCAGCAATTTAGCGGGTCCCATGCTCTGTGTATGTGTATGTAAGGTCACTCGGCCGTAAGTTAAGGCGCCTTAAGGAGATACGACGCCTTAACGCGTTTGAGAATCTGGCCCCTGGACCCGAATCGACGTTGACCAGGAACTTGATTTACTTCTCAGGGTCGTTGCTGATCC